TCTTCCTTCCATTCTCTGGCTATGGGCCAGTGTCACACAATCCCCTTTGCTATTAAGATGCACCAAAATCCAATAAAAGAAGCATAGGCTTCAGAGTCAGATTTCAGTTAAAATTCCAGATCTGCCACTCAATGGCTACGTGACTTTGGGCAAGTTATTTAACCTAACCCTCAACTTTTTTGTTTTTAGGGAAAATGAGGATAGCACTACCTCCCCACACAAGGTAGTCTACTGAAGCAATTAGTAAATGCTCAATACACATTAGTTATCTTATTTCCCCACTATAGGAGAAGAAACCGAAGAGGGGGCTGGGCGCGGTGGCTCACACACGTAATCTCAGCACTTTGGGAGGCCGAGGCGGGCGGATCACCTGAGGTCAGGAGTTCAAGATCAGCCTGGCCAACATGGCGAAACCCCGTCACTACTAAAAATACAAAAATTAGCTGGGCGTGGTGGCGGGAGCCTGTAATCCCAGCTACTCAGGAGGCTGAGGCAGGGATAATTGCTTGAACCTGGGAGATGGAGGTTGCAGTGAGCCAAGATCGCACCACTGCACTCCAGCCTGGGTGATGGAGAGAGACTCTGTCACACACTCTCTCTCACACACACACACACACACACTCTCTCACACACACACACACACACTCTCTCACACACACACACACTCTCTCACACACACACACACACAGGGGAAAAAGGGTCTTTTCAAATGGCCTACCTTCTCTTATATGCCCCTTTCTTTTTGTTGTTGTTGTTGTTGTTTTTAGACTGTGTTTTGCTCTTGTTGCCCAGGCTAGAGTGCAATGGCACGATCTCAGCTCACTGCAACCTCCACCTCCCGGGTTCAAGTGATTCTCCTGCCTCAGCCTCTCAAGTAACTGGGACTACAGGCACACACTATCACACCCCACTTATTTTGTATTTTTAGTAGAGACGGAGTTTCTCCATGTTGGTCAGGCTGGTCTCAAACTCCTGACCTCAGGTGATCCGCCTGCCTTGGCCTCCCAAAGTGCTGGGATTACAGGCCCTTATCTGCCACTTTCCTGCTGAGGAAGTGCATGGCCTTTCTGGACAGGAAAATGTGTGCAGAATCTCTTACGCTGTACCCTAGGTTGCCCTGTGTACATAATGTTGCCCTGTGTACATACTTTACCTTTCTAGTCATGATTCTGAGTATATATGTACCCTCCTATATACGCTGTATATAGCCATTGGTGAATTGTCTATATCCAGGCAAGTGCTATGTCAGTTTGATTTGCTTTGTGGATGTTGCTAATAGGTTTGTGTTTTCCCAGAAAAAGAAGTGGTGAGAAACTTCGACTGGAAGAAACAAGAGCCTTACCAACTCACCACTTCACTTTTTTTTAATGAAAATTTTGAGGATATGGTAATGAGAACACCATCAGATGAAGCATGACAATCCCAAAGAACTGATGTGCACTTGATAAATGCTTGTGGTTAGAACAGGTGACCCATTTTCCCCAGTTTCCATAAGCCATGTCCTCCCTGGTGAAAGAGCCAGGTAGGTCAATGTCAAATAAGTACTTACTGTTCATGTGTTAGATGTTTACAGGAGGAATATTTAAAATTTTTTAAGTGTTTGGAATGCTACTAAACTTTTAGGTATTGGAGAGGGGTAGGAATATAAGCAAGCTGCTATGACCAACACATAACTAAAGTGCATGTCCCAAGAATAAGAGGTTAGGCCTGATGATCATGTACTTTTACTTCCTCAAGGTAAGGTCAGCATAATCTAAGAGCAAAAAGCTAAATATAAGCCCTTGGGGTCAGCCACACTTGAAAAGGAGGAGGAAATTCAAACAACAAAGTAAACTAGAAAGAGCAGTAAAAGGGAAGAAAATCAGGATGTTACACAGTCAAAACAAAAAAAAGAAAAATATTTTTAGTGGTACCAAATGCAACAAAGACTTCAAGAAAGAGAAGCAGCAAAAAGCGATTTGACCAGGAGGAAGTTAGCAGTGGTTTCTGAGGTTAAGTGGTTTCTGACTGGGCAGGTGGTTTCTATTATATAAATGGTGGCTTACATAGAATGAGATGTTGAGATCATCTTATTTCACACAGAACATTAAAGGGCCATTATAATTAGACTCACTCATTCATTCATTTACTCCATTAGCATTTACTGTGCTCTTACAAGTGCCTGATGCTACTAAGCTCCATGGGGTCAGGGTACCTAATAGAAAAACCATAATTAAATCATAGTGGCTTCTCTCTCACAAGCAATCTGGGTGAAGTTTTAAAGCAATGACTTAAAAATGAAAGTCTTATTTCCCTATAGCTGTTTCAGTTTATATATTCATTTCTGACACATTAGCCTTTTTTTTCCTTTTTAAATTAGTAAAGTTTGGTTTGCCACATCATAAAGTGTCAACCTAGAAAAGTAGCAAACTTAAAAAAAAATCAAATCTCAAAGTATCTTATATATACTGTGAGGAAAAGCAGAAACGGCATTAATATCTTAGGTTATTTTTTTTTTCTGCAAACACAAAAACCCTCACAGAATAGTTCAAAGGAACCAAAGTTTACTGTTTCACAAGAAAATGCATATATGCTTTGTGTCTCTTTTTATTTATTATATATTTTTTTGAGACGGAGTCTTGCTCTGTCGCCAGGCTGGAGTGCCCATCTAGTGATCCCTCCCATCTAGTGATTCCCCTTTCTAACCAGCTACTCTAATTAGCAAACTATTAAAGACACGCGATCTCTGCTCACTGCAAACTCCGCCTCCCAGGTTCACGCCATCCTCCTGCCTCAGCCTCCCGAGTAGCTGGGACTACAGGCACCCGCCACCATGTCTGGCTAATTTTTTGTACTTTTAGTAGAGACGGCGTTTCACTGTATTAACCAGGATGGTCTCAATCTCCTGACCTCGTGATCCACCCACCTTGGCCTCCCAAAGTGCTGGGATTACAGGCGTGAGCCACCGCACCCGGCCCTGTATCTCATATTTTAACAGGTTTGCTTGGGTGCATCACCAACTTGGATTCTGACAGGAGGCTGAAAACATCAAGTCCCAGAGATTCTTTTGTGAGCTCTGAGGAAAACCAGAAATGGTATTTATACCTTGTATTAGGTATTTATTTCCACAAAAGTTTGATGCTTACAACATAAACCCAACAACCCACCTGGAATAGGCCATTGAAATCTACCAAGCTTTTCACACTTTCAGAAGATATACCTAGAGATCTCTGCTTCTCAAAATGTCACCTTGCAGTGAGGAACCTGGTGCCTGGAAATAAGGCAACCCACATCAATTTTGGGACATCAAAAATGAATTATTTTAAACATGGATATAAAATGAAGTAAAATGTAAAATTCTCCAGATTTCTATAAAATAAAACTCAAATGCTCAAAACCCCCAGCCTGTGCCACTAAGGGAAACTCACTCCCTCTGCCATTAGGATTGTCACCATGGAAACGAGCAGACCTACCGCCTCCTGTGGAAACTGGATCTCTCTCTCCCATCTAGTGATCCCTCTTTCTAACCGGCTAGTCTAATTAGCAAACTATTAAAGACACGTGAACTTTCCTTTGTACCTGTTATCATCAGGTGAAATGTTTCCTCATTACTTTCAGAATTAAGTATACAATTCAGCACGCATATGCACATATCAGCTATAAGTGAGTTTTCTAACTGGCTATCCAAAATAAAACCATCTTAAAAATAAACCAATCCACCTGAAGAGTGATGTGTGGTGTTTTCCCTCTTTCTACATTCTATATTTTAATTTTCTATAATTTTTCCTTTTTAATAATGAGGGAAAACTTTTTTTTTTTTTTTTTTTTTTTTTGAGATGGAGGTTCACTCTTGTCGCCCAGGCTGGAGTGCAGCGGCACGATCTCGGCTCACTGCAACCTCTGCCTCCCAGATTCAAGTGACTCTACTGCCTCAGTCTCCCAAGTAGCTGGGATTACAGGTGCTCACCACCACACCCAGCTAATTTTTGCATTTTTAGTAGAGATGGTGCTTTACCATGTTGGCCAGGCTGGACTAGAACTCCTGACCTCAGGTGATCCACCCACCTCAGCCTCTCCAAATGCTAGGATTACAGATGTGAGCCACCATGCCAGCTGAGGGAAAACTTTTTAAAAAAAATTCTAACTATAACTTTAAAACGTTCTTCAAAACCACTGCAGTGAAAAATATGTATTTGAAAATTGCTGATAATCCTTTAAATATTTGCTTCTTTAATCTCAGTAGCCAAAAATCTGATTTGCTATACTTGAGTCACTATTTTTCAACTTAATTTTCTTATCACCTTATCTTACGTCAAAGGCCACACGTCAAATGTTCTAATGGAGAATATCCTTTTTCTGCAATAACTCCAAGCATTTTAAAACCCATACTCAAAATTAATGATTATTTAACTAGTAGTTTTTGCCCAGTTTTTTTTTCTAACTGTAACTAACTCCCCCTTACCATCAATTCAAGGACTGTGGCAATCAAACTAGATAGGTTCTACTAATGGATGTATAAAAAGACTCAAAACCAAAGAAATAATTCCCTGACTTCAACTCAAATTTTGGTAATTATTATTTTCCTTATTTCCTTATTATCCTGAAGATACAGGTTACATTCCTCCCTATACAACTTTTTAATGCAAACTATACAATCAAAAAAGTCTGATCTCTAGGAGAACACTAATCATATGGTATTTTATAACATGGAATATAATTTTTTCACAGGGAACAGTTAATATTTGCACTTTAAGATTTTTTGTTTACATTAAGTTCTGGGATACATGTGCAGAATGTGCAGGTTTGTTACATAGGTATACATGTGCCATGGTGGTTTGCTGTACCTATGGGAACAGATTTTTTAAACAAGAACATTAATTTTTTTAATACAGAGTTAAGGCCTCAGGCTTATATTTCACATCTAAAAACAGTACTCTGAGTAGAAATGTAGGGCTTAGCGTTCTCAGTGGAAAACAACAACCATCCCAGCAGATTTTCTACAAGTTAATTTAAACACGATCTTTTTAGAGGAAAACAGTATTTATTGTATAAAAGCGATATTAATCAAAGGCACAAACGAAAACTAAGACTTAAAGTTGACCATAATATTAACAAGTCATATCAACCTGGTACCAGCTAAATTTAATGAAGATAAGTTCCACTGAAATCCTAAGGAAAATACAATAATTCCGACACCATTTAATAATTAGAAACTTTCAAACAAGAGGGAACCTATGAACATCATAATAAATGCCTCAATTTGGAGGCAAAGAAATGTAAGTTGTGTGCTGAAACCTGATGTATCACAGAACATCAGTAGTCCCTTACTGTTATCACCATCTGGCACCTTGATGAGGGATGCCATCTATTGACTGACTGAAATTAAATCACACAATGTGACTCTCTGCCTGTCATCAGAACAGAGAGTAATAAAACATTTTAACTTCTTGGTGCGAATTATACAATCAAACCAGATAACCTTGACTGGGAAGGAGCCAGTTCAGAGAGGTCAATTTTCTATCACACTACATCAATAGCAAAGTCAGAGGAATCAATTTTCCATCTTGTAACACTACATCAAAATAGCAAATTCACAGTGCCTTCCAAAGGCCCCCCACTAAGAAAAATAACAGTCAAGAGGAACACAGAATTACTTCATTTACAATTTACTAGCTCTTCCAGTGTTTCAAAGGGATACAGGGTTTCAACGATCTAACACGAATGGGACAGAAGGTGGACTTAGAACATAGCAAACACACATCTTGATTGAATCAGCCTATTGCGAGCACAAATCTTGATTGAATCAGCCTATTGGTGTAGTTTTCGGTCTACATACATCTTGATTGAATCAACCTACTGGTGTAGTTTTTTGATCTATCAGTAAGTAGTGTCGTCAGTTCTCCAACCAGGCAATTTCTAATTCACGGGGGGAACCTAAATGTCCTAAAATTAAACAAAAACAGTTAATGTACTTGTTACCCAAATTTCAACATCCGTATTTGCTTACATACATTCTAATCTATTCCTGCTAATGAAGGCCTTCCTATGTGCTCCTAGTCAGTGGCTCAAGTAAAATGCAAAGTGTGCCCTAGGGATCAATTCAGTCAACAACAGTTCTCATAGTATTTTACCACTCAAATACTAATGCCATTGAAACACACGTCTTCCCAAAATCTGGTTCCTTACTAGACCAGATGAGTTTATGGCTTGAACGATAGCCCACCAAAAACATCTTTTTACCAAGAAAGCCACACTCTCAACGACTGATGGACTGTGGTAAATGAAAACTATGAAAAGGACTAGGGAAAATGTCAATATTGGTGATGAGCAGAGTGCACCTGCCAGGGAACCTCACAAGTAAGGTCATTATTGGGATTCTTTGCTTCTCTTCTCTCTAGGCTGAAACATGTTAGAAAAGGGACCACTTATGATCTCTAGGCTGCCATGTGTATGTAAATATATAAACCCACACGGGGACTCTTCTGTTGCATAAAAACTGAGAGCATGCATAGAGAAGCTGTAGCTAAGTCATTACTTTCTGACCATGCCCTGTGTATAGAGACCTAACCTGCCTACACAGGGCTTACATAGCACCAGCTAGGTTTAAATATACTACTAGACAAGACGTTCTTGGCAAACTTAGTCCATGCATCATATACACAGGCTAGAATAAATATCAACACTGACAGAGCTGAGGACCAAAATGAACCCACCTTAAAGGTAGAGAGGAATAGGCCCGCAGATACATTGGGTTACACTATCTCATACTGGTTATTTGTTATGGCACGAGAGAGGCAGTAGGCGAGAAAGATTCCAATCAGCTAGAAATAAAATAGGAACAAAATTAAATACATACACAAAACAGCTTGAAGACCTCAAACTATATTCCCCTCTCACCTGTAATTCGCCTATAAATTTTCTTCCTTGAGTTTTTCTAGAGTTATGTTTAATACTCTGCAGCATCTAGATCACATTCAAAGAATGTAAGTGAAGTTTTATTGCCACTACGACCCAGAATTTCACAACTCTTACCAAAGGAAAATCCAGCAAACTGTCACTCAAGGAAGATTCAGTCACAAGTTTTGGAGAAACTTTTCTTACTCTCATTTCCCAGAAAAAAACAAAGACATGGTTTTCAGTAAGTATCTTAACAAGTGAAATCTCCATCAACGAGGGCAGAGATTTTCCTGGAAAGATCCAGAGCAGTGCTACAGTAATGAAAACGTTCTAGAATCCCTGTACTGTCTGATATAGTAGGCAGCAGCCACATGGTTACTAAGTATTTCAAATCTCCAGCAAACTGAGGTTTTAATTTTATTTAATAATTTATAACAACTCAAAGGTGGCTAGTGGCTACTGCATTAGCATAGATTTAGATATAGCTTTGCTTGCTACTTTAAAAATATATCAAGACTAAACTTGAATTAGTCTTATTTCTAGTGTTTAATCTAAAAAAGAAAATCGTTCAGAGCCATAAAACAAACTTCATGCTACAGTGAGAAACACAACTTGAGAAACATAATTTGATCTACAACGTGGAATCAACCAAAAACAACTGGTGCATAATGAATATGGGGGTAGCATCATCTAAATTTTAATAGGTTGGAACTTGTATGCAACTCATCAGGCAGTTGCAGCCCAGGAAAGATCCTGATAACGTTTTAGAATCTTGACTGACCGCAGAGAGAACCAAGGTTCCTATCTAATGTTTTGTTTCATGAACTATGATACTGGAAAGTTGCCATAACTAAGAGGGCACTGAGTCTTTCCACAGTTGACTGCTTTCAAAAGATATGTACTGCTGCCAGTTAATTCTAAATCTTACATTTTTTCTTCTTCTTTTTTTTTTTTTATTATACTTTAAGTTCTGGGTTACATGTGCAGAACGTGCAGGTTTGTTACATAGGTATACACGTGCCATGGTGGTTTGCTGTACCTATTAGCCCGTCATCTACATCAGGTATTTCTCCTAAATAAAGTATTTTTATACTGTGACCAGTAACTGAGAGTTTTGTGAAAATGCAACTTCCCTAAAAATGTCCTCACTATCCAGGCCCCTGAAGCAAAAACTTTAAGCCATAAAAGTGAAAATATTGCTGAATGCAGTAGCTCACACCTGTAATCCCAGCACTTTGGGAGGCCGAGGTGGGCGGATCACTTGAGGTCAGGTGTTCGAGATCAGCCTGGCCAACATGGTGAAACCCCATCTCTACTAAAAATACAAAAAAATTAGCCAGGCGTGGTGGCACACACCTGTAATTCTAGCTACTCGGGAGGCTGAGGTGGGAGGATTGCTTGAACCCAAGAAGTAGAGGTTGCAGGGAGCTGAGATGGCACCACTGCATTCCAGACTGGGCAACAGAGCAAGACGCCAACTCAAAAAAAAAAAGTGAAAAAATTTCTAGCTTACACCTACAAGAGGGATGAAATATTTCCTAAGTAACTACAAAGACTTACTTGGAAGCAAGCAACTCCAAAGGAAATTCCTGCAACGACTCCCATTTCTGACTCTATAATGGTCATCACCTTTATAAAACAACCCTAATGGGAGGAAAAAAACAAAGATTAAATACAGTACAAGCAGCCTGTGCTTTTCTTTATGGTAATAAATACTTCGATCATATACCTCTGCAGGAAGATATATTTAGGGTAATAAATACTTCAATCATATACCTCTGCAGAAAGATGTATGTATCAGAGCCTTTGATTTTCATTTTATTGAAATCTACTCTCTTCCGTATGTTCTCAACAGAACAAATAATTATTCCCAACTATTTCCACCTTTTGGATTATATATTTAAAAGTGTTACTTCACTTGAACCCAGGAGTTCAAGGCTCCAGTGAACTATGATCACACCACTGCACTTCAGACTGGGTGACAGAGAGAAACACTGTCTTTAGAAAAAGTACTAAACAATAAATAAACAAAAAAGTGTTACTTGCTAGCTATCTGAACTCAAGTCTTACCTGCCTTATTTCAGCTTATATTTAAAAATTAAAAACTGGCCAGGCGCAGTGGTTCACGCCTGTAATCTCAGCACTTTGGGAGGCCAAGTCGAGCAGATCACGAGGTCAGGAGATCGAGACCACCCTGGCTAACACGGTGAAACCCCGTCTCTACTAAAAAATACAAAAAAGTAGCCAGGCGTGGTGGTGGGCGCCTGTAGTCCCAGCTACTCAGGAGGCTGAGGCAGGAGAACGGGATGAACCCTGGAGGCAGAGCTTGCAGTGAGCCAAGATCACGCCACTGCACTCCAGCCTGGGCGACAGAGCGAGACTCCCTCTCAAAAAAAAAAAAAATTAAAAACTGGGTCAATTTTGCATTCAGTTAAGTCCTCAAATATTGTCAAATAGAAAGTTTTAAAAGGCACCTTACTTCATTGTTTACTTTGTCTGCATCTCTCTGTGGAGTACAATCTTCACGTTTACAGCAACTCTTAGGAAATCCTTTTTCTGAGTAATAATTAGTATTTGTCCAATCTGTATAATCGGTGACACCACAACAATGTAACTGAAAAACCCAACAAAAGCATTTACAGTTCGTATTACAACTTTGTAGTCAAACATTTAACCTAATAATTGCAATTTGTGCTCAAAACACTTACTAATCTCAATGATCTCTCTCCTGAATTGATTCAAGAGATGAGCACTGGGTCCTTGATTAGCACCATGCATGACAGTTTTGTATTGGCTTTACTTTCCTGCTATAGTTGGTACTAACAGTACCCGGACTATGATGTAAGCAGGGACAGAAGAGAACAGGTGCACATGTGAGGAAAATGAAACACGTCACACTTCTTTCCCCTACAAGTGGATAGCATCTAGTAGCCAGATTCTACTCTTTTCTCTGAGGCAGCAGGGAATGTGTTCCCCTCTAGGTGGTGGTGACCACTTACCGTACTTTGGATCTTGTCTACTGCATGGCTTCTATAATCTCCTGTAGAGTTATACTGCTTCAAAGCCTTCTCATAATTATTCTTAAAGCTGTTCTTAATCTATAGCAAAGAAACACAATGTCAGTAAGAAAATCCTCTAGAAAGTTCTTTTGGTTTCAGGTCAAGTAAGTTCTTGAATCTGACCAATGGTCATATCTTTGACAGCAGTAACATGTATGGTAATTAACTTCCATGGTACAATCCTGTCCTCTAAGGGATATAGGTTAGCTGAGGGGACTACTAAGCAAAACATTAAAATATATGATGAGAACCACAACAAGTTCAAAGTGCTGTGGGAATATGTATTTATCTGAGTGGCCATGCAGTACTGCTGTATTCTGCACCCTGCTAATCTTTTTCCACTTTAAACTGAGTACAAATTCGATGCCTATGGAATTTGTAAGCTACAAAACCTTACTTTGGGAGACTGTGCTACCACTTTATAAGAACTCTCATTGATGAGCCTTTGCTACTCACCGAATGATATTTGAACTACCCCAAGTTTACCTGATTTCTAATTCAATATTAAACTTTTTTTTTTTTTTTTTTTTTGAGATGGAGTCTCACTCTGTCGCCCAGGCTGGAGTGCAGTGGCGCGATCTCAGCTCACTGCAAGCTCCGCCTCCTGGGTTCACGCCATTCTCCTGCCTCAGCCTCCCGAGTAGCTGGGACTACAGGCACCCACTACCATGCCCGGCTAATTTTTTTTTTTTTTTTTTTGTATTTTTAGTAGAGACAGGGTTTCACCATGTTAGCCAGCATGGTCTCGATCTCCTGACCTCGTGATCCGCCCGCCTTGGCCTCCCAAAGTGGTGGGATTACAGGCGTGAGCCACCACGCCTGGCCCAATATTAAACTTTTGATGATTTGCATTAAGTATATCTAATCTTTTCAAAACGCAAGGCATAAGAAGGTTATCGATTTTGTGCTTTGAATATTTTCCTATCAGTAAAGTTATAAATTGTACTATCTCTGTTTTAATAGGTACTTACACACAGAAAAATGACAGGAAATACAAGTAATTTTCTTCTGGTGACTATCAGTCTTTACAATTTTCTAAATTTTCTTTTAAATTAGAAGTGAACCAGAATGTTTACAAGAAGGCCATTACTGTCAGCTACAGGTTTAAATACAGAGGTCTGACTCTTCTACTTAAATAAATCCATTTTTATCTTTTAGAGGATAAATTTAACATGCTAAGCTTCCCTAATTCAGGCTTACCTCATGTCTGAAAACAAATCCTACGATGGCAGCGACCAGTTCGACCAAAAAAATGAGAGTCAGAAACATTGCATACTGCAGGATAAGAAAGAAAGTCCAAGTCAGCATAAATAAGATATAGCACAGCTGCAAAGGGAGTCAAAGAAAAAAATAATGGTCGTCTTCTCAATTGGTTCATCATGTTTTCATTGAAAAGGGCAGGGAAAATAACAACATGTCTATTTTGAAAGTGGAAACTGGCAGCTGAACTGTTACTTGACAAGTTTTCATAAGGAACAGGAAAAACTGTAAAGGGCCATGGCCAGTTCCAAGAAAGGAATCCTATAACATACAAAACTTTTCTAAAACCAAGAATCAATTCTAATGAAAACAAGGACTCACCAGTTTTAGCATCCACGCAGAAGCTCGGCAGGTAGCAAAACAACCAAAGGTGCCCAAAAGAATAATGACGGTACCAGTACCAATGAGCACGAAGGGGACATTGGTGGCCTTCTCATTTAAAAGAGAAAAGTAATTCTCCAGGCTCACCTTGCCCCAAATGCCAACTGCAAGAAGGATAACGCCAGTGATCTATGTGGGAATTCAGAGAATACAAACAGTTACACACTGTGTATAGCAGCATCTTCAAAACACAAAGCATGAGGTATTTAAAGCACAATAGGTGTGATATTCTGGGATATGGCAGATAAGGGGGAAGGGTAGAAGGGATGAGGAGCAGAGCTGCACACAAGAGTAGGCCGTGGACAAGGCATCTTATCAAAATTCTTAAAATTCATCTTTTTGTGTGTAAACACTAGCCCATGGCATATTTTACCCTAGGGATCAAAACTTCCTTAATTGTCTTACTCCAACCTTAGGAAGAAAACCTTGAAGGTGGAAAAAAAAAAAAGTGATTTTATGAATTCCAGAAACTTCCCCCGTCCTCTCCAGTTAGGGATGAGCACAGGGTACAAAGGAATGGTACACAAAAGCAAGCCCAAGGATAGACTGGCAGGAGTGGAGGCATACCCATACTTACCTGCGAAACACTCCTCTCTTATGAAGCAGTGAAAAGAAAGACACTATTATGCAAGTGAGCCCTCAATGGGGCCGGGCAAGCCTTGCTTGCCTCTGCAAATGTCCAGGGTCACCGTCTGCTTGCTCTGGGGGCTTAACGCCCACCTCGCCTCCCGTATGGAACTCGAACGCTGGTACGTCTGGGTCCCAGCTCAGCCTGTCGGCTACCTTCGTCCCGCACTCCGACCCCAGCGCCGGCGAGATGCCTGAGCTCTTTGCTCGAGGCCCAGTCACTGGTCGCCGGCGTCAGGGTCCCAGGCGCGATGGCCGCCCAAACCCCACCCCATCCCCGACCTGAGCTCCCGCCGCTCAGGGTCACACCCCCCCACACCTAAAAGCCCGGGATCCCCTGCCAGCCCCAGGCGCCTTCGTCTCTCACCCAGAAAATAAAAGTGTAGATTAGTAGGACGCTCTTGAAACAAGTAATGACTGGTTTAGTCTGCAGTCTCCGAGATGGGGACGCCATGACTATCCCGAGACCCTGCACCACCGCACCGGGCGATCGGAACACAGAGAGCGAGACGCGGAGTCCCCGAGTCTCCCCGGAAACTGCCGAAAACTTACGAGCGTCCACAACTGAGAAGGGCCGGAAACACTGTACAATTTTCTAGAGGGTAAAGTACGGGAGGCTGTCCGGAAAGTGGCAACAATTTCCAAGCGCCCCCTGCCGAAGGTTACCGAGAACTATATACAAAGGTTCTAGTGTCGGAAATTTCGTAGGTCTTCTAGTGGAGCTTTCTTCATTTTTTTTTCTATCCTAAGGAATCTTTCCCGTCCCCCCCCACCCCTCCCCTCTCCTTATAACTTCACCATATTGTTTATATCACCAGCAGAGCCCGCAGCGCTCTGAGATTGGGCCTCCCTGGCCCCTGGTGCCCTAGAGAGAAGAAAAAGAATGAAGAGGTTAAAAGTGACCTAGGAAAATACATGGGAAAATACCCACAAGAAATATATTTGCAAAAAGAAAGCGGGTTGCAAAGCAATACATACAGTCACGTGTGCTTAGACAAAAACTGAAAGGAACAGTGAAATTTACCTCTGGTGGAATTAGGCTGATTTTTTTCTCACTTGTGTGCTTTTCGGTTTGTAAACATTGTTTTATGGGGTAGGAAGGGGAAATATGAATGAATTGAGGAAAATAATAACCACTTGTTGAAAGAATTTCTAAGCTAGGTATTAAAGATAATAATGACTTTTAGAATTTCCCTGTAGGACTTTGCAAAACCCCAGTATTCCTCTCTTCTTTTATCCCCTAAGTAATTGGAAAGTTGAAGGAAAGTATTTTTACATAATAGTGAAATGTAAGTTCAGCTATTCGCTGCAAACTTTTAAAAAGAGAATGCTATGGAAATTTCATCCCTGGTGAGTGTGACCTCCTCTTAAATGTTAAAACAGAAAGGCACTGTATATTCCAGCCACCTGTTTTTTCCCATCAAAACCCAGCTGATTACAGAGAGGTTAAAACCTAATGTTATGTATTGTGAACATATCGGTTTATGTTGTTACAGCACAGGAGGTGTGTTAAGGTCTGATTTCTCAACAAAAACGTCAGCTCTTTGAGGGCAAAGACTGAGTGTTAAGTGAGTATGTGTTATCTCTAGAGGAATGGGGTTAGAAGGCTATATCAGTTCCCTATGCAATCCAACCCTTCATCATTGACACAAGCTTAATATCACAAATGGCTATTTACTTTATTGCCATTGCAAAAAGACCTGTATTTGTGGAGGAGAGATGAATACTCAGACTTTTCTGCTTGAAACGTTGCTCTAAACGTACATCTCAGGACCAGAACACAGGAAAGTTCCATTGACTTGGTCACACAGAGCTTCCCTGTGCTTCGAATATTGACCTAGGACCAGATCCTGTAACATCTTGCCAGACGTCTGAGGTGCAAGGCAGCAACTATTGGAAAATTAATTATTGCACTGCCAGGCTTTATACTAAAATTTTTTACTAAAATTTGAAAGGCCTAATACACAAATACATGGAGAATGGATAAATGTACATCTACATACACCTTCAAACACTTTGAGGTAAAGTCGTTAGGAAATAGCAGATATTCAACATGGTGGAGGGAGGTGTCTAAGTACATGCAAAGATTTCTCCCTAGGCGAAATGACCCCAACTGAGGGGTTCTTATACTAAAAACAAGGATCAAGGGAAGTCTTGATAACTTCTTGTCATCTTAAAGAGAAGTTTCTCTGAAATTTAGATTTGTACTATGTACTGGAAGGGATTTACAATGTGAGCCCAAGAGCAAAGAAATATATCTGTAGCTGAAGAAAAAACAAAATAGCAAAGCAAAAGCCACATCTTATTTCCAAGAATGTGTTGACTTTCCTCCTCTCCCTTCTTCTACCACTCACAACGCTGCTTTGTTTGAATAACACTCGGTGCCAAACTAAACCAAATGCTGACCTGGAAATTCATATTCCTATGGCCACAACACCTTGCACCATTGCCTCCTACTCTGCTACACCCACTTCCATCTCCCCACGCCCACCATGGCACCAAACCCAGAAATTCAATTTAGTTCAAACCTAGGCCTGGGTCTGGGTACAAACCCAGACCAAAGTGGCATCTAATCCCATTTAAGGCAATTTAAGAAGTATTTCCCTAGGCCATTAGATAAATGTATTCTTTAAAGTATTAATAATGACTGTGATAATGAGCATTGACTATATACCAACCACTATCACTAAGTGCTTGATACACGTTACCTCATATGCACGCATCACAAAAACCCTATTATGAGGTTGACACACCTAGCACCTTCATTTTACAGATGAAGAAACAGATTGAAAGAGGCTAGGTAAGCTGCCTAGGACTAAACCTGGGTAACTTCTGTGTCTTTCATCAGAAATGGGGCCCACTTTGTGATGAAACGTAGCTGCTGTTGTACACACAGCTGCCTCCTCTCAGAGTAACCTGAGTAAAGACTGCTGTTGCACAGACATTTAACCACAAACAAGGGCTCCTCGGAACCTCTGAAGCTTAAGAACCTCAATGATTGCCCCAATTCTGCCTTGCACTTGGGGTTTTTTGGTTGAGTTTGGCTTTTGCCTTCACTCCAATAGCCCAGTCACCTAGGAAGTAACCCTACCTGCCCCAGAGTGATAAGGCAGAGAGTTCAGAACTTTTTCTTGTTCAACCTCTTAATTTCTCCCTCTTTCTGAGCACAGAAACACAATTTGATGCCAACCACGTAGGAAAAAAAGGAAAATACTTTAAGTATTGTTACTGCTTGTTTTACATTGAACATTTAGTACTCTCCCTTCCCAATTAACTTCCTGTAACCTTCAAGATTAGGTGTAAATGTTTTTCATTGCTAGACATCAGGCAAGCGAAATGACATAAACAAGGGCTCACTGTTAAGTCAGACCTCCCTTGTGCCACCTCCAACCTCCCTCCATCCCTACCAAGCCCCTCATCCCAATACAATCTCAACTGATTTCCTACTGCTTTTCCAATGTGAATTTTCCGCTCTGTACCAGGTAAGTACGATCAACCCCCCGATAAACAAGTCCTATTTCCTAGTCCCTGCCCACCCTCTACTTCACTCATACTTTCTGCTTCTACTGAATATCCAGCTCAATCCCAACTCAGTAAAAAGCCCCTCCTCCCTCACCTCTTTCTCTAACAGCATAACTGTCTAAACTACACACTCACTCCCATTAACTCAGCCGTTTAGTCAATTACTGCAATATCTGCTTTGCATTTCTACTTACCTATTCTACATCCTACCGTCTAGATGTTCAGAAACTACTGAAGAGCTAGTGTGGCAGGGCCCCTGTGTCCCCTTTTATACTGTCCTCAGTACCCTAGGACATAATGCCCTATTGATGAGTTCATTTTCTGCTCGGCCAATCCCTGTTGAGCTGATTGCTCACTGAGGTCATAACTGGTCTCTGGGAGTAACCACACAGTAATTACTCAGGATTGATTGTTGAAATTAAATAAAAAATTAAATGTCTAAGCCATCCCAGTATCACACTATCATAAAACAGAAAAAATTAAATTGAGTACCTAGATAATGTCTTGGGACATTCCTACTGTCTCTCTTAGGAACCACTAAAAAAAAAAAAAAAAAAAAAAAAAAAAAAAAAAAAAAAAAAAAAATCAGCTGTATCACTGAGAGTACATCTTATCTCTTATTCACATAATAACTTTACCATTTTCATTTTCTAATCCGTTTTCTAGCATCCCTTCAATTACCTTTGGCTAAGTGACTATCATAGAATTTAAAGGCACATCCTACTTGTTTTCTTAATGTCTCACATTTTGTATTACAGCCATCAGATACCTCATTATTTAAAGAGCTAATTCATATGTACAGTTTTAAAAATCCGTTGCGTTAATGGAATATCTCCTTATTTCTATTATCTCTTGTGTATTTCCATTCTCCTTCTCTGAAATTCTATTCTTTGTCTATTTTTATTCCTTTTTTTTTCCCATCCACTCCTTTCAGATGCTCTGTGAAACCTTTACTCCCTTTCCATCCCTGATCTTGCCTTCTTCAAAAAAGCTCATAATATATAGTTTGGGACACACAGACATGATAAATACTTTTAAATGGTATTAAAATTCACAATTCTATGTCCATTTTCTAAGAAAGTTGTTTCTAGTCTAGCCTGGTTGAGCTTTCCTGAGATCTCAACTAGGGAAGTCAGTTTCCATATCTAATATTTCATAAAACAATACCTTATTTACTGCTGAGGGGCTTCATATTAAAAGTCTTAAAGTTGAAAATGGTACTGAACTTTAAGAAACTTAAGAAATTGACTATGCCTGGATGCTGTCAGTCTCCTTATCTACCTTTGTCTTATCTTCCCAACCAAACCATAGGGAGAGGTGTTTTATTTCACTTTATAGCCTTGCAGTGTCTAACATTGTGTTTTACACACTGAGTGCATGCTGCAGAAACATTGGGGTTATTATGATTAACCTCACTTGTTTTGGGTGAGCTCTTTATATTATTAATCCCAATGCTTCACAAGAATGCTGTCCCTCTCCTCTGACATATCCCCTTACTTTGATCTCCCTATGATTTCCATATTCTCCCCCTTCACTTTCTTCTTTAACCTCTTTCTGGAACCCCTCTATCCCACTCCTTCCAGCTTTCAGTGGGATTGAGGCCTTACGCAGCATCTTCACCCTGGCATGTGCTAGGTTTTGTGTTGGATGGCTGGGGATATGAAGAAGACTAGGATAAGGTTCTTGCCCTCTAAGCACTCATAGTCTAGTAGGAGTCAGAGATAAGTAAAGAACAATGTCAATAAGTGTGAAAAGTCCTAAAATGGAGATATGTACAAAGTGCTGTGAGAGAAAAGGCAGGCAAAGTTAACCAACTTGGGCTGGGATGGGCTGGGGGAAGCTTCTCAGCAGCAAGGGTGGGTAGAGCTCCAATAAGCCAAGAAAGGAGGGAAGGGACTATAGAGCAGAGTGAACACGTCTGTGCAGAGGCTCCGGGGTGCGAAAGGAAGAACAAGAAGCTCAAGGAAGAGCATGAGGCGGAGTGTGTCCAGAATTAGGAGGCATGGGATGTGCTTAATACTAGGCTAAGGACATAGATGGGGTTTGCTTGTGAAGAGCATGGTATGCAATGCTAAGGAACTCAGACTGTACGCTATGCCAAGAGGGAGCCAGTAAAGGGGGGTTTAAGAAAGAAAAACTCTGGTAGAATGTATTACTTTACTTGTTCCCTCTCTCTCTCTCATATTCCTCTCTCTCTCTGTCTCTCTGTCTCACACACACACACACACACACACACACACTCAAACACACAGACACACAAATTTAATATATTCACTATTTTCTCACATATAAGTTTAAAATAACCTCCTATATCTGATTTTCTGGCCCTACCCTATTTATTCAACTTTGTTTTCTGTCTCTCCCTGAAACCTGTTAGCAGTTGGCCCCTCCCTCCTCTGACCTAACAGTGAGCTCTTGTTGATGGCATTTCCTTTGCCTGAGACTAGACCAAGGCCCACCTCTTCTCAGATGCCCCCCTCCTCTGACCTCCTCCTAGCGTCCTTAAAGTCTGTAACGCAGTTTTTGGTAGTTTATTACCATAGGGAGTTGTATTGTTTTATAATTGATTGCGTCCCTTTTCTCTCCCCTACTAAACATAAACTCCGGGAGCTGGAGAGTAAGCTCCATAAGATCAAGAATCATACATTACTTGCTCACCACTGTATCTGCACTGCTCAGCTTATAGTAGATGACCAATAAAGATTCCCTAAACACACGCAATTGTAATTAAGAACATGCTTGTTTGATGTCTGTCTCCTCTGTTCCATGAGGGCAGGGATTTTTGTCTGTTTTGTTCACTGATGTTTCTCAAATACCTGGAACCACGTGTGGCACATAATAGATGCTCAACAAGTATTTGTTGAATTAATTATGAATTACAATGCCTGGGATTTTGTCTGTCTTGTTCACCACTACATCCACCACTCTTGACGTGGTAGATACTTGATAAATTTATGGAATGAATAAGGCCATGACGATCACGTCTTCTTTTTTTTTTTTTTCTTCTGAGACGGAGTCTCACTCCCTCACCCAGGCTGGAGTGCAGTGGCGTGATCTCAGCTCACTGCAACCTCTGCCTCCCGGGTTCAAGCAATTCTCCTGCCTCAGCCTCCTGAGTAGCTAGGATTACAGGCACCACCAGGCCCGGCTACTTTTTTTTGTATTTAGTAGAGATGGGGTTTCACCATGTTGGCCAGGCTAATCTTGAACTCCTGACCTCGTGATCTGCCCTCTTTAGCCTCCCAAAGTGTTGGGATTACAGGCATGAGCCGCTGCGCCCAGCCACATCTTCTTTACATAGGTATTACTCTGTTAAGCACATGGTAGATACTCAATACATATTTGTCACAGGTGGATTGGAAATGAAGCAGGCTCAGGCTTGCTTTTGAACTTTGTATTATCATAAGTACAATTCTTCCCATTATGACTGAGAAGGGGTTACCAATTTGCTTGCATACACAGGAGAAACACCCTTTCTACAACAGCTTAAAATTCTTCCTTCTATAACCACTGATTTTCCAAGAGATGGAAATGTCAACTGTGAGGGGAGGGAGATTGTAAGTAGCTGGTCTGTGCTATGGCAGAACAGTCTTATTATCAGATACTAAAATGAAAAAATCTTGCTGAGTGAAATGTAACCCTCCATCAGAGACCACTGGGATGCAGCTAGATTTGCTCAAACAGCCTCCCACTAAAGCCTCTCCAGGCATGCTTTCCTTCCATTCTTAGTAAGGGAAATCAGTCTTGATTCTTCAGGCAAGAAGTACATGGGGTTTTTTTGTAAACAATATAATCTTAACAGAAACTGAAGTCCAGAGAAGTTAGGTCACTGGCATGAGGGTTTCAAAGTGTATCTGACCTGATACCATATAGATTGCAAGATAATTCAGAGTTGGGAGCCTAAGGAATTACAGGAGAAATCTTGTAGGGAATGTCAAAATCAGCTACAGTCTTCCCCTCTCTTTGGTGTTTCTGTTTGTGAAATTCCTTTTCATTCAATTCTTATGTCATGCTGAGTCATAAAAAGAAGTGTTCTTCAGTGCAACACATCTCTGGAGGCCGCTTAAGCCAGCCTCTGTGTTAGTCATCACTATACTCACAGGCTTGGAGCCAGTGCCATTCACACTTCCCCCTCTTCTGCAGCAGACAGACTGAGTTCCTCTAATCCCTGTGTTTCTTCTCCCCCATCTTTCTAAAACCCTTCTCTGAGACAGGAATAACTATAGCTTCGGGGATAATATAGCTTTAAGGAATCTTTTGGCAGATGCGGACGTCGTAACATCTGGGCAGTGTTAACAGAATCCCGGAGGTCGGGACAGACCAGGAGCCACTCGTTCTAGGAATGTTGAAGTAGAAGGTTTTTTCCAATTGATGAGAGGAGCAGAGAGCAAGGAGAAAGAGGAGAGAGAAAAAGGGCACAAAATACCATAAAACAGGTAAGATCTGCAACTAATCCCTCCACACTCCACTACCCCAATGCACAATTGTGAAGGGGATAAGGAGATCCAGAACTTGGGCAACATGGCTGGGGGTGGAGGTCGGGGGAGAAGTTATTTTATGAAGCTGGATCATATGCTGCTTTTCATTTATGCTGTGACCTGACTGCAAACACATGTTCCCAGCAACTTCTTGGCCCACAGCAGAGGGATGGGATGGTTGACTCTAGTGAGTCAAGTATTAAGCCTGAGATTGGGGAGAAGCTGGACACGTAAGAGGTCACAGGTTCAGAGTATTGGGTATGAAAAAGGAATGCCTCTGCTCCAGAACAAAGGAACTAGATGGAGGCTAGATGTGGGAGAGGGGTTGGTGATTAGTTATCTAACTGTTTGTTTTCCCAGATCTCTCTTTAATCTCCTCTTTCTCCTCCTTTTGTTGCCTCTTTCTGTGTTTATCCATCTCTTTCCTTCAGCTCTGTCAGATTTTCTTTCCTTCCATCCCACATCTTTCTACTTCCCTTTTCTCCTTCATTTACTCTTTTTCTCCATCCTGCCTCCCTGTCACTTTCTAGACAAAGTCTGAAACCAAGTAGCAATGAATTAGAAAATAAAATTTTCCCTTTCTTGGGCTTTGCATGTCCCTTAGGAACTCTGGCCAGAATCTACCACCTTTTTGTTTCTCTATTTCTAGGACTGACTCCTCCCCTGAGCATGGCATTTCATTGAAAGCATGTGAGTGAATGGGTGCTTGCTGAAATGCCCAGTGGCCAATTTATACCAATGGGCAGCAAATTTTAATACTGTCATTTACAAAGTATTTGCCTACTGGGAACCACAAAACTCTCATCCCATTAGGGTGAG